TTTTTTTTTGTTCACATTTTGCCTTCTCTGGGTTTAACTGAGCATTTTATATGATTGAATTTTATCTCCCCTCTTGATATATCATTTATACTTGAAAAAAACTGTTTTAATAGCTTCCATAGGTTTTATAATATACATTTGTAACAATATAAATCTACCCCCAAATAACACTACACTATTTCACGTATCATGAAGGCATCTTGTAACAGAATATTTCCAATTCCTCTCTGCCATCTCCGTGACTACTGTTATTCATTTTATGTATCTATATGTCATAAACACTCAAAACATTCCTTCAACAAAAGTTATCTTTTAGATCAATTCAAAATAAAATATTTTCCACTTTCATTTGTTCTTTTCTAATGGTCTTACTTCTTAAATGTAAATCCACATTTTTTAGCTATATCACTTTTCTTCTGCCTGACGAATTTCTTTTAACATTTTTATGTGTTGTGCTTTTGTTGTTGCATATAAGAAATCTTCACATAACCCAAGATCAAAAAATTTTCTATGTTTTAGAAGTTTTATAATTTTTCATTTTACAGTTAAATCTGTGATTTATTTTGAATTACTTTTTGTATATGTTGCATTAAAGATTTTTTTTTTACATATGGATATACAATTTTTTTCCAGCCCAATTTGTTGAGAAATCTTTTCTTTCTCCATTGAATTACCTCTGAATGTTCATTGAAAATTAGTAGTTGGAGGTGTAACACTACTTACTGGAATTTTAAGACTTACACAGTTATAGTAATAAAGACAGCATAGAATTAGTGTAAAGACAGAAAATAAATCAATGAAATATAACAGAGAGACTGACACACATATGAACAACTGATTTTTTAAGATATGCAAAAGAACAAACATAAAACTGGACTTCATCAGAATTTAAAATACTGTTAAGATAATGATAAAACAAGCCAGTGACAGGGGCACATGTTTGCAAATCATATCTTATAAAGAACTTCTATCAACACCCAATTAAAAAACACAACCCAATACAAAAAATGGGAAAAAGATGTGAACAGCTATCTCACCAATGGGGATACAGAGAGGAAAAATACTCACATGAAAAGATGCTCTATATCATTTGACATTGGAGACAAACATCAACTACAAAGATAAATTACTGCACACTGATTCAAATGGTTAAAATTGTAATGATTGCAAATACAAAATGTGTGCAGGAATGTGGAGGAACTAGAATTCTCCTACAGTCCTGGTGGGAATGAAATGTGGTGCAACCACTTTGGAATACATTTTGTCATTTCATAAAATAATTAAGCATACACCTACCATATGAGACAGCCATTCCACTGTTAGTTATTTACTGAAGAGAAATAAAAACATATGTCCAATCAGAGACTTATACATAAATGTTCTATAAACATTTTTGTCTAGCTTTATTTCAATAGCCAAAAAACTGGAAATAACCTAAATGTCCATTAGTAGGTGAATGAATAAACAAACTATGGCACATCCATAAAATATAGTACTACTTAGCAGTATAAATAGAATGAACTACTGACACAAAGAACAACATAGATAAAACTTAAGATAATTATGCCAAGTGAAATTAGCTAGACAATAAAAAAGAGTACATACGACAGGACTCCCTTAATATAAAACTTCTAGGTGGTGATAGCTTCACAAGTATATATATAGATACAGTTTATTATGTCAATTATCTATTTTATATAAAATCTATTTTATATAAAGTCTATTTTATATAAAAGTGTTTTGAGTTGTATTCTTAAATATTTATGGTATTCCAGTGCTTTGGTTTAAATACTGAGAACCTCATATTCTAGAGAAATGGCTACTCATGGGAGTTGTATTTTAGAGCCTTCACTATGACTTTAAAAGAGGAGGGAGCTCTTGAGCTATGGAGCTTGAAAGATTTCTCTAGCACATGCATCAGCCTGCCACCCCATGAAACCTTTTGCCATCCCATGAAATCTCCTGTCACAATTCAGTTTACTGCTACATAAGGTACTACATTTAAAAATGAAGAAACAGAATAAATAATTATTCTAAATAGAAAAACACACCAGAAAATTATTCCACAAAGCAGATCTAAATTGTAGTCTAACATTACAAAATAACCTAAAAATTAGTAAAGCAATTATAGCTATGGAAGATACTGCACCATAGTGCACTATCTACAAGAACTCAAAGTAGACATGGCCAGACCACAAGAGGCTATGCTTGAAGAGCAGATGAATGAAAAAAGGAAACTGACAGGAAAGGATTATGAAAAAGTCAGAAAGAACGTTTTAGAAAAAAAGATGAAATAACAAGAAAAACAAGGAAGAACAGACACACACAGATATTTTACCACAGTAAGAAACACTGATTATAGAAAAGAAGATGAAAAAGAAGGTAGATGAGGAATATTCTGTAGTCAGTCTTCCCTCTTCCATCAAAGTCAAGGAGAATGTGTCATTATTCTTTTTAAAGTGTACCAACCTGACAGAAATTCTACCATAACTTTAAAGTATATATTCTTTTATTACTAATAGTATTACACATTTGTATATTTCTGTGACCTATGGTTATTGATCATTTCCATTTTGTTCTCTTATAAATTATCTAGTGATACCCTTGATACAGTTTCCTTACTTAGGTATTATACATCTCTTATTCATTTATATGACCCATACAAATGTGTGTATATATTTATTTCTAAGATTTACATAGAGTCATTTATACGTTTATATGTGGAGTACTTTGTTCAATAGCAACTAGTTAATGTGTGGGTAGTTTCAGTCTGAGCTCAAGGGATTTAAACCAATTCTGGTGAACTTTTTTTATTTTCTACATTCTGCTGTGGAGAATGATGGCTTTAAGCCATAAGAAAAACTATCCAAGATTTTGAGTGATCTGTTCTCATGCACAGGGAGAGTTGAACAAATGCCTGCTGGCCCACCTGATATGGGTAAGGGTGAGTATTGACTTCCTTGGTGCTTCCTATGATTAAAAACAAGAAAAACAAAACAAAACCTGAGTGAGCATTCTGCTTCATCTTCTGTATAGCCTTCTTCCCCTCAGTGGAAAAGATCTGGAACTTCGCTGGCACCAAGGCTACTATACAGACGTGACTCACTCATTATTTGGTATTCTCAGAGAGTCACTCCTACCAGATTTCTCCATGGAAGTCCTTTTCCATCCAAGAGAAATATACACTCTAGAGACCACAGCTATAGGGTGACAGGGACTTGAAAAGGAGAGAAAAAAAGAGAAATGGAGGGATAAGATAATAGTGATGACAACAAACATATGGATTCCTACCTATTTTATTTAATATTGAACCAAAAATAACACCCAGCACATTCACCGTTTATTCAGGAAACTCTTTGTTGCTTAATATGTTCCTCCTAATTATGCAACTAACAGAGAAAGTTTAGAAAATGCCACTATCTTAGACACTTCCAAATAAACTTTATCCTGTCCTCCCCTACTACCATTAAGATTTCTTCCTCTTCAGTGGGTCCAAAACATGTGCAACCTCCTTCTTCATAGTCTCAACAATAAATTGAATATTAAGATTTTCTTTTATCATTCTTTAATAATGTAAAAAGAAACTATAGAAGGACCTCTAACCTAGGAATGGACCAACAAATGCATTCTGGAAAAAATATGCCACATCAGAACCAAGTGAAAGAAGAGAAGGCCTTTTTGTTTTCACTGTTCCATGCAGTTGTTTTTATAGCTCAGATAGAACTCTTCATGGTTTTATCTTCTCTCTATCACGACTTTTCTCTCTGGGAGCAATATGTATGTGGGGAAAAGTGGTTTTGTGAATGAGCTTAAATTAATGGAGGAGTTAGAGAAAGTGAACAGGCAAGAGGAAATTCACAACTGCAGTATACTATGAAGTACAAGAAATTAACTATTTAAATGTATGTATGCTGTCAAGGAGGAGTTTACATGCAGTTTAGCAACGTTCAAGAAACAAGCATTAAATGTCTATGCTATGAGAGGTACTGGAGGGAGGTACAGATGGTGTCCCTGACTGTGAGGACTTTACTCCAACAATAAAATGTAAATATGTACAGAAAATGGTGTGATTAAAGAATAAAGAAGGTCATGTGATAAAGAATACTAATAAAAAGGAAGCTACTTTACATGAGGTGAGCCAGAAGAACAGTTTCCCTGAATCCCTAAATGTCACAGTAAATTTCTGACAAGCAGAGTGATTCAACGTGTCCCCGCTTGTCTTTTAGAACCCTGTGTATAACTGGAGCCCAGATATCCAGGGAATCATCTTGAGTTCCACCTTCTATGGTTTCGTCATCATCCAAGTTCCTGTTGGATACTTCTCTGGAATATACTCTACAAAGAAAATGATTGGCTTTGCATTATGCCTCAGCTCTGTGTTAAGCCTACTCATCCCACCAGCAGCTGGAATTGGAGTAGCTTGGGTCATTGTATGTCGAGCAGTTCAGGGAGCAGCCCAGGTATTAAAATAATGCTAAAACCAAACAGAGTTTAAATTCACAGGAAGTATTAGAGATTAAATGTCAAAACTTTCTCATTTCAGGGGATAGTTGGAACAGCCCAGTTTGAAATATATGTCAAATGGGCTCCTCCCCTGGAACGAGGCCGACTTACTTCTATGAGTACATCAGGTAAAGAGTTAGAGACTAGAATGTTTGAATCCTATTTTCACCTCATTGTATTATGTTCTTCCCTAGAGCCATAAAAAATATGTGTTTTGAATGGTCAAGGGCTTTGGAAATCATCTATTTCAGCATTCTTGCTGTGAAGATGAGAGAATTGTATAGAATGGAGAAGAGGCATCCTTATCTCAACAGAGAAAAAGAGAGAAAAGAAAATATTTTTATTATTTTCTTCTGATATTTGTGTTATGATACACAAATTTGTTTCACAGGAAATTGTTCATTGCTACAGCGAGACTACATTATCTGTACTTTCAGATGCCTGCATTAATTAGGGATGTTCTTTGTACCTACTGATTAGGGTTTTTGCTGGGACCCTTTATTGTCCTACTTGTGACTGGAGTTATCTGTGAATCTCTGGGCTGGCCCATGGTCTTCTATATTTTTGGTGAGTCTCCTTCTGTAAAATCCTAGTTATTATTCAGAATCTAAGAAAAATTTAAACATTAAAACCCAATATAAAGTAATAATTCATATAAAGTTAAAATTAAAAATCATGAACTCCACTGAGTGAAAGAGAGAAGTCAACATTCATTAAGTTCCTACCACAAGCAAGGTATTATGATGCTTAAAACTATACATGTATTTTTGTCCATAACTTTTGTAATTCTATAATGTAGGTGCTATAGATGCATATGCTTTTATATGAAACTCTCCAGGAAAAGGATGATCAGAATAAATAAGTTTACAGATTTCAGAAATATATTACTTTTTATACTTAACATTCAAAGCATGATGTGGAGCACTGCCCCATAATCAAACACATTAATTTCTACAGTAAAAAATGAAATCTGTGCAAACTAGAACACACAAAAACTATAAAGAAATAAGGTTTACAAATAAGTGATGAAATCACTTTTGGCTCTCTGATCTTGATTTCAGGTTTGTGAATAAGAAAATGTGGATAGGTTCTATTATGCCCATTTGATATGTGAGGAAATTTCAAAAGGCTTAGGTAACTTGATCAAAGTCATATACTTAAGGCAAAATTAGAAGAATTTATTTACAAAATGATCACTTAAAAAGGTAAGTATGAGATGTGGTGGAATCCCAGGAATAGTCCAGTTACCTGGGGCTAGTGATACAGGAGCTTGTAACATCTAGCATCCCCAGGTCCAAAGGCATCAAGCAAGGAAGTAGTTATCAGAATCCATTAGGAGAGCTCTATAGAGCAGGATGCCTCCTGATTTTTCATAAAAGGACACATAGATTGAGACAATCACAGGACAGAGGTAACCAGGGTTTGAAAAAGCACCTTGATTTCACTCAATTCTCTCCCTCTCATCTCTGCCTGGAATTTCTGTTGGCCAAATCCAGGTAGAAGCAGAGGACATGGGGGCCTACTGATGTTCATTCAAATCAGCCATCTGTAGCCAAAGCAAGGTGAAGAAGGATGAGGAGTACATCTAGGGAGACAAACAGAAGATATCCAATACATACAGTGAGCAGATGGCAGAGGCCTAATCTGAAAACACAACTTCTATCCTCAAAATTCCATTGCTGTTAATGACTGTGTTAGTCTTCAGTAGTAGACAATGGTCAGTATAGTGATGGAACATCAGCCCCTTATCAGGAAAGGGGCTGAAAAAACTGAGAATGTCTAGCCTGAGGAAGAGAAAACTTGAGAAAACATACCTTGTAGGACTTTCATATAAATAAAATGCAGATCTGTTTTGAATTACAAAACTAACCCAAATATGCAGAAATTATAGGGAAGCGGGGGAGCAGGGGAGAGGTTTCAGCTCCATATAAGGAAAACTTTGGAATAACTAATGCTGCCCAACATTGCTGATCAAGGGTTGAATGACATCTAATATTTATGTTGTATTTCTGTGATAAGATCATGTACACCAATGTATGCCACTTACAGTTATCATGGGTGGCTTCATGAAACTCAAACGAAGCTGTTACACAACTACACATTGTACTATGATAATAGCTTTACTGTGAAGTCCCTCACATGTTTCTACCTCATCAGCAAGAATTGAGGAAAAGAGATTAGATGACAGCTGTTTAGGAATTTAGGTGTCTGCCTCCCACAACCCTTTTACTGGAAATTACATGATGTCCACATATGTCAAATGACCTGTTCGTTAGTGGCAGAGGGAAAATTAAAACCAAGATTGTTTTAAAATTCCATCTGAATATTCTTGCCAATAAAGTTGAACAAATCTGAATAGATACTGTTTTAAAGAATAAGACAATAACTGTATTTAAGCAGCTGATAATTGCTGGAGATTACCAAATAGAGTAAATTGAGTCACAGACTTACATTTGCACTTAAAATGGCCTGGCCAGTTGGGTGCAGTGGATCATGCCTGTAATCCCAGCACTTTGGGATGCTGAGGTGGGTGGATCACCTACGGTCAGGAGTTTGAGACCAGTCTGGCCAACATGGTGAAACCCCGTCTCTACTAAAAATAGAAAAAATTAGCTGGGTGTGGTGGCGGCCACCTGTAATCTCATCTACAGGGGAGGCTGAGGCAGGAGAATCACTTGAATCCAGGAGGCTGTCTCTTATACACATCTAGATGTGTATAAGAGACAGGAGCTGAGATCATGCCATTGCACTCCAGCCTGGGCAACAAGAGTGAAACTCTTGTCTCAAAAAAAAAAAAACAAAAAAAAAAAACAAAAAAAATTGCCTGTCTATCCTGCTATATTTGTCTCCTAAAGACTATTTCAAACTTCTTAACTCTTCTCAAATCTCTAAAATGATTCCCTTTCCCTGTCCTCTATCTCAAGTAACTTCCCTTTGACCATTGAAATCATTGCATAATCTGTCTGTACCCATTGCCTACATTTCCTAGCATCTCACACTCTCCTTAACTCACATCTGACTAGTGTCTGTGCCATCAGACACAGCTGTTGCCAAGATCACTTATGGCTTCTGTCACAGCTGCCCTGAGGCCAGGCCAGAGGGCCTTTGCCCTGGATTCCACACTGTGGAGAGCCCATTCTAGCCCCTCTCTAGCTAGGCTCTCTTCATAGGGCAGGTGCCAAGACAGTAGGCTCTGTAGAGCTCATGACTCTGCTTCTAATCATTATACCTGGAATGTGTTGCTTAAATAGAACTAAGGCTATTGGTTATATTGGAAAAGACCAGCAGGGTTCTTACCAATAGCCATTGAATTGGGGAGTGACCAAGGGAGGTAGGAGGCACTATTTGCACAATATATGAATGGTACACCACTGGGGAAGGCAAGAGTTTCCACATATATCCATTCAAAGTACCTAGGAAGGTGGGAATGGATCTGGGTAGGAATGGGTCAAGCTTCAGACTAGTCGCCAGAGATTTGTGTTCAGAATTCTAAATTTAAACATGACTCTTCAGGTCATTTTTTTCCCTTTGGCTTCTTTCAAAATTGTCTTTGATTTATTGAAGTTGAATATTATATTGTAACTGAAAATCAAGTTAGTTGCTTACCACATGTACAGTCCAATTAACAAGAGTGGGGTCTGGTACAAGAAAAGTGGATTTATTCCAAAGCTAACTTGGGGAAGGGACACACAATTTCTTGCTTTTAAATGTGCCATTTCACCTTTGGAGCTGAAGTGGCCAAAAAAAAAAAGGTGAGCATTTTCATAAGGTAGGAGAGGAAATGAGCAAGGGCAGAGGTCCCCTTGCTACCAGGCAGTTATCTACTGCACAGTTGAGGTGGCACTTTCATGGACAGAAGTAGGTTGAAAAAGTGGCCAAAAAGGGCATGTTTTCCATATGCTCTCCTGGTGGAAGAAAGTTCCAAGGCCACTCCTGGAGAGTGGAAGTTCTGAGGCCACGCCCTAGCGATGAAAGTTCCCTGGCAATTTGGTCTGCAGATTGACTGTCAGCTCTGGAGGAGAGCTATGACTTGAAGCACATAGTTAGGAGAATTTTTCCTATAGCGAATGTCTGGTGAGGGGAGGAGGTGAAATGTTGTATTTGCATTTCTGAAGGGCTAAGTTGGAAATGAGAAGCAAGAGGAAAAGGGGAAAGGGGAAAAAAAGAGAAAATTTTTTTTAAAATAGTAATTCATTCCCTTTTTCTTAAAAAACTGGGGGCATTTGGTTACAACATGTCAGGTTATAACTTTTTTTTTTTATTTATTCTTCTTGGCATTCTCTGGGCTTCTTATATCTGTGGTTTGAAGTTTATTATTAATTTTAAGAAATTCTCAGTAATTATTGCTTTAAATATTTTTTCTAATTTTTTTCTTTCCCCTCCCTCCCTTCTTCCCTCCCTCCCTTCTTCCCTTCCTTCCTTCCTTCCTCCCTCCCTCCCTTCCTTGCTTTTTCTTTCTTTCTTCCTTTCTTTCTCTTCCTTCCTTTTTTTCTCTTTCTCTCTTTCTCTATTTCTTTCTTTCTTCCGGTATGTTTCTTTACATGTATATTACACCTTGTGGTATTTTTTTGTTACAGGTATATTACAGCTTTTATAATTGTCCTACAATTCTTAGATATTCCATTTTTTTTTTTTTTTTTTTTTTTGTGAAATGGAGTCTTGCTTTTGTCACCCAGCCTGGAGTGCAATGGCACTATCTCAGCTCAGCGTAACCTCAACCTCCTGGATTTAAGTGATTCTCCTGCCTCAACTCCCTGAGTAGCTGGGATTACAGGGGCACATCACTACGCCCAGCTAATTCTTTTGTATTTTTAGAAGCAACAGGGTTTCACCATGTTGACCAGGCTGGTCATGAACTCCTGACCTCAGGTGATCTGCCCGCCTAGGCCTTCCAAAGTGTTGGGATTACAGGCGTGAGCCACCACACCCAGACCATTCTGTCTTTTTAGTTCTTTTTTCTGTCTTTGCAATTCAGTTTTAGAAATTTCTGTAGCCATTTTATCAAGCTCACTGATTTTTTCTTGGTCATGTCTAGTCTACTGATGTATCAAAGGCATTCTTTATTTCTATTATAGTATTTTTATTTCCAGCACCCCAGCCTCCCCATCTAGGGGTGTAGTTTCTCCCTGAACAATATAATTCATGCTTCCAGGTAAACTACCACTCACTAACATTTATGTCCCACAAATAATTTCATCTTTCCAAGTCTCAGTTTGCTCATTTTGAAAAAGAGATAATAAACAGTACTATATGAATTTTCGGGGAGTTGATTGAATAAAATAATTTTTTTTCTTTTTTATCCACTACAAAGTCAACTCCATAAAGGCAGGGATTTTTGTCTGTTTTATTCATTGCTGTATCCCCAGTACTTAAAATAGGTGCATGGTAAATAATCGGCACTTAATATTTGTTAAATGAATGCAAGTCTTCTGGAAGACTGACTGGTGAGCACTATATACTTCCTGTCCCAACAGAGAATTCCTCACAGTCAAGTTATTCATATAAAAATTGATATAAATAACTTGTCAAACTCTTATAGAACTCCAACAATCCCTGAAGTCTGGGCTATATCTCAGGAACATGGCTGAGGCTAAGCTATCAAAACTGGGTCATAATAGCAAAGACATGGAATCAACCTAAATGCCCATTAATGATAGACTGGATAAACAAAATGTGGTACATATATACCATTGAATACTATGCAGCCATAAAAAGAATGAGATCACGTCCTTTGCAGGGAAATGGATGGAGCTGGGGGGCCATTCTCCTTAGCAAACTAACACAGTAATAGAAAACTAAATACCGCATGTTCTCATTTATAAGTGGGAGCTAAATGATGAGAACACGTGAACACATAGAGGGGAACAACACACACTGAGGGGAACAACCTCTACCACTGGGTAGAGGGTGGGAAGAGGGAGAGGATCAGGAAAAATAACTAATGGATACTAGGCTTAATGCCTGGGTGATGAAATAATCTGTACAATAAACCCCTATGACACAAGTTTACCCATATAACTAACCTGCACATGTATCCCTGAACTTAAACATTATAAACACAAAAACAAAACAACTGGGCAATTGTCAAGCCCTGAGCAGGCTCAGCTGTGCCATATTCTTATGATGGAACACATGAGGAATTTGAAAAGATGAGGGCTTGAGGGCAGGCAGGCCCAGATGTCATGAGTGGAGGGAGCAGAGGATAGGAGATCAGGAAAGGGCATAGGCCTTAACCTATTTCTAGCAGGGAGAGGTCCTTGTGGACAAAAGGAGGACTATGAAAAACGTAAGACTTGTTGCAAAGTTTCAAAAAAGAAACAGGAGGTCCAGGTTCTCAGACTAATACATTGAAAAATGCGAATTTGGGAAAGAGATCCACTACAAACAGAAACTTCCAATTCTAACTTATCCTGCTTTGATAGGTGCTTGTGGCTGTGCTCTATGTCTTCTCTGGTTCATTGTGTTTTATGATGACCCCAAGGACCACCCATGTATAAGCATCAGTGAAAAGGAATACATCACATCCTCCCTGGTCCAGCAGGTAGAGCACAGTTCTCCATATTGGAGTAATCTCTAAGATTCTACTCCAAACTAAACATGTTCCAGTTTGTTCTAATGTGCTAATTATTAATGAATTTCTTTCCAGGTCAGTTCAAGTAGACAATCTCTGCCTATCAAGGCTATGCTTAAATCGCTTCCAGTCTGGGCTATTTCCATTGGTAGTTTTACTTTTTTCTGGTCACATATCATCATGACACTATACACGCCACTGTTTATCAACTCCACGCTTCGTGTTAATATAAAAGAGGTAAGTATACTATTTGTTCTGTTTTTAACTTCATGAAAGACTCTGTGTACATTTTTCTGTCTCTAATGACCCTAGTCTCAGCTCTTGCCAACTCCTCACACTGTCTGACTACTGCTCCTCACCTGGAAATTAACTGTTTCTGCTCTTTGTATGAACATTGCCCAAAACAGAAGGCGTTGATGCAGACACAAGTGTCTGGCACTCCAGCAGCAGCATACATGCATCTGTGTTTCCACACATTTCCCATCTCCCATTTACTGTGTGACTCCCTTTGTATATTACTTAAGGTTCAACACCACCATTCCCTACAGAGACTGGGGGCCTCCTATGAAAGTCACTTAGCCAGGCCCTGTCACTCTGCCAAGCTTTTACCAATCCTCTCCAAGGTAAAGCAATGAGTCTGGGCTATGAAGCCAAGACTCAAGTCTTGCTTTGGAAGGACTGGCATACCCATTACTCATCTGGCTTGGAGAATCACTGATATGGGCAAACTCCTATTATTTGAAACCATAATAACCAGACAAGACAAGACAAGACTCCTTTAGAAATGGAGTCTGTCTGGGCTTACCACTTGCCGCGTTCTGTAATGAACTTCCAGTAAACCAGCCTAGGGCCCAGCATAACAGTAAGGTCTTATAAACTCTCTCTGACTCAATTTTATACTTCATGAAACCCTGAAGTTGTTGCGAGGATTAGTAGCAGCTGGTCCAGTGTAAGCACCATACGCATGTCCGTAATTGTCATCTTTATCCTCTCTTATCATTTTCCCCAGGGTCAGTATTTCCCATTCCCGATGTAGTCTTCCTTCTCTATTATTCAGTGCTTTTATGTTTCATGATACTGAAATTGGAAGATTTGACAGGTTATGATAAATATTACTGATCTCAAAGCTATTTTTCTCTTTATTTTGGGTAATGTGATCCCAGCAGTAATTCTGGTATTGTATATTGATGGTTTCCTATATGAAAGTACTCATTTTAGATAATAAATTTTAGCATAGGGATTACTCTGTGTGTCAGTACTGCTTTACCCATCAAACTCACTCCAAGAATAATGTTTCCTCTTCAGAATGGGTTTCTGTCTTCCCTTCCCTATTTGTTTGCTTGGATCTGTGGTAACCTAGTAGGTCAGTTATCAGACTTCTTCCTGACCAGGAATATTCTCAGCGTAATTGCTGTCCGGAAACTCTTCACAGCAGCAGGTAAGCAACAGCCAGAACATTTAAGCACTTGGGAGATACTTCTCCCCTGTCTTTAGGATGCACCTAACTATATTGTCTGAATCACTCCGCAGGATTTCTCCTTCCTGCAATCTTTGGTGTATGCCTGCCTTACCTGAGTTCCAGCTTCTACGGCATTGTCATTTTCCTAATACTTGTTAGTGCAACAGGCAGCTTTTGCTTGGGTGGAGTACTTATAAATGGCTTGGATATCGCTCCCAGGTAAGATTTGTTTATACACTTTTTTTAAACCTTTAACAAATAAATGTTGTACATATTTATTGTGTATAACATGATGATTTAAAATACGGATACTTTGTGGAATGGCTAAAATCGAGCAAAGTAACATATGCATTACCTCACACACTTAGCATTTTTTTGTGTGTGTGGGAACACAAAATTTACTCTTAGGAATTTTCAAGGATATAATCTGTTGTTTTATACTATAGTCACTTTGTTATGCAATAGATCTCTTAAGCTTATTCCTCAAATATAAATAAAATTTGGTATCTTTTGGCTAACATCTCACTCCCAGTGCCTAGTAATCACTATTCTACTCTACTTCTGAGTCCAATTTTGTAAGATTCCACATGTAACTAAGATCATGCAGTGTTTGCCTTTCTGTGTCTGACTTATTTCACTTAAATTAATGTCCTCCAAGTTCATTCAAGTTGTCACAAATGACTTGATATCCTTCATTTTTAAGCTGAATAGTATCCCATTGTGTATATTATCACATATTTGTTATCCCGTTCATCTGCTGATGGACACTTAGGTTAATCCTATATCTTGGCTATTGTGAATAATGCTGCAATGAACATAGTAGTGCAGTTATCTCTTTAGACATTCTCACTTCATTTCCTTTGGATAGACACTCAGGAGTGAAATTGCTGGATCATATAGTGGTTCTACTTTTAATTTTTTGAGGAACATCCATACTGTTTTCCATAACTGCTGTACTAATTTATATACCCACCAATGGTATGCAAATTTCCCCTTTTTTCCACATCCCCACCAACACTTATCTTTTGTATTTTTTATAACAGACACTCAAATGGGTGTAGAGGGATATCTCATTGTGGTTTTAATTTGAATTTCCCTGATGATTAATGGTGTTGGACATTCTTTTCATATACCTGTTGATAGTATATCTTTGTTTTTTGAGAAATGACTATTCAGGTCCTTTGCCCATTTTTTAATTGGGTTGTTTTCTTGTTATAGAGTTTGAGTTTCTAGTATTCTTTGGATATTAACCACTTATTATACGTATAGTCTGCAAATATTTTCTCCTATTCTTCAGGTTGTCTCTTCACTCTGTTGATTGTTTCTTTTCCTGTGCAGAAGCTCTTTAGTTTGATATAATCCCATTTGTCTGTCTTTGCTTTCAGTGCTTGTGCTTTTGTGATCCTAACCAAAAAATCATTGCCCAGGTCAAAGTCATAGAGCTTGTCCCCTCTGTTTTCTTCTAGTAGTTTTACAGTTTCAGGTCTTATGTTTAAGTCTTTAATCCATTTTGAGTTGATTTTTATATATGGCATGAGATGAGTCTAATTCCATTCTTCTGCATGTGGATACCCGGTTGTTCCAACAGCATTTATTGAAGAGATCATCCTTCTTCCATGGTGTGTTCTTGGCACCTCTGTCAAAAATCAATTCATCCTAAATGTTGGATTTCTTTCTGGACTCTCTATTCTGCTCCATTGGTCTATGTATCTATGTTCATTCTAGTATCACGTCATTTTGATTATTAAAACTTTGAAGTATATTTTGAAGTCAGATAGTGTGATGCCTCCAGTTTTGTTATTTTGGCTCAAGATTACTTTGGTTATTTAGGACCTTTTGTACTTCCATAGAAATTGTAAGATTGTTTTTCTATTTCTGCGAAAAATGTCATTGGAATTTTGATAAGGATTGCATTGAATCTTTAGATTGCTTTGAATTGCACAGACTTTTTACCAACATTAATTCTTCCTATCCATAAGCACAGGATATCTTTACATTTGTTTGTGTCTTCTTCAATATCTTCCACTAATGTTTTAGTTTTCATTGTGGTCTTTCACCTATTCAGTTAAACTTATTTTAAGCATTTTTTTCTTGTAACTATTATATACGGGATTGTTTCATTGATTTTGTGTGTGTGTGTGTGTGTGTGGATAGTTCATTGTAACTAGGGAGAGTTTTAAAAAATCTTTTTCTTTCTTAAATCCAAGCTCTCAAAAGCATTTTTAAAAGTCGTTAGTTTTTGTATAAATTTAAGGTGTGCAAATACAATTTTGTTAAGTGGGTATATTATGTAGTGGTGAAGTCTGGGTTTTTAGGGTAACCATTACCTAAATAATGTACATCGTACATATTAAGTAATTTTTTAACCCTCACCCTCTTCCCACTCTTCCAAGTCTCTAATGTCTGTTATTCTACACTCTGTCAATGTGTATAAGTTATTTAGTTCTTACTTTATAACTGAGAACTTGCAGTATTTGGTTTTCTGTTTCTGAGTTGTTTTACTTAAGACAAGGGCCTCTATTTCCATCGATGTTGCTGAAAAAGACATTATTTCATTCTTTTTTATGGCAGAGTAGTATTCCATTGTGCATATGTACCACATTTTCCTCATCCAATCATCTGTTGATGGACACTTAGGTTGATGTCTTTGCTATTGTGAATAGTATTGCAATAAACACATGAGTGCAGATATCTTTTTGATACAATAATATCTTTTCCTTTGAGTAGACACCCAGTAGCAGAATTGCAGGATCTAATGGTAGTTCTATTTGCAGTTCTTTGAGAAATCTCCATACTGTTTTCCACAGAGGTTGTACTAATTTACATTTCCACTAACAGTGTATAAGCATTGCTTTTTCTGTGCATCCTCATCAACATCTGTTGTTTTTTGGCTTGAATAATAATAATTCTGACTGGCATAAGATGCTATCTCATCATGGTTTTAGTTTGCACTACTCTGAGGATTAGTTTTTTTATACGCTTATTGTCCATTTGTATGTCTTCTTTTGAATATGGCTACTTATGTCCTTTTTCCACTTTTTTAACATGGTTATTTATATTTTGTTGTTGTTAAGTTGGAGTTCCTTGTTAATTCTGAATTTTTTTAAAAAATATTCTTTTTATTTCAATGGCTTTTGGGATACAAGTGGTTTTTGGTTACATGGATGAATTGACAGTGGTGATGTCTAAGATTTTAGTGTATCCATCATAGGAATAGTGTACATTGTACCCAATATGTGGTTTTTTATCCTTTGCTCCTCCTCCCATTTTCCCCACTCTGAGTCTCCACAGTTCATTATACCACTCTGTATGCCTTTGTATACCCATAGCTTAGCTCCCACTTATAAGTGAAAACATATGGCATTTAGTGGCAAACATATGAAAAAATGCTCCACATCACTAATTATCAGGGAAATGCATATCATAACCACAATGAGATACCACCTTACTCCTGCAAGAATGCCCATAATTAAAAAACAAAATAATAATAGATGTTGGCGTGGGTGTGGTGAAAAGGGAACACCTTTACACTGTTGGTGGGAAAGTAAACTAGTACAACCACTATGGAAGACAGTGTGGAGATTCCTTAAAAAACTAGAAGTAGAAATACCATTTGATCCAGCAATCCCACTACTGGGTATCTATCCAAAGGAAAAGAAGTCATTATATGAAAAAGACACTTGCACATGCATGTTTATAGCAGCACAATTTGCAACTGCAGAAATATGGAACCAGCCTAAATCCCCATCAAACAATAAGTAGATAATGAAAATGTGGTTATATATATATTATGGAATACTACTCAGCCATAAAAACAAACAAAATAATGCCATTCGCAGTAACCTGGATTCATTTGCTGCAGTTTCACTGCTTTTATAGCTCATTTCATGCTGGAATTGGTTTGAGCTTCCAGGATTG